TTTGTGTCCATTCCACTCTGCATTGTGGTTACCTAAAAATTGACTGATTCATTTGTAAAGAGGCATAAGGTTTTAAAAAACCATTTGCATTTCAGGACATACTTTTATTCAAGGCTCATTCCTCCAGCTTCTGTACTGATCTGTACATTACTTGGTTTTTTTTGTGCTATAAAAATAATGAGAAAAAAATGCTTTATTAACTAGATCATACTTTTAAACATGTTGCATAACCAGAGGATTACTGAAACCTTTTTTCTTCAGGGTTTAAGTTTATAACTACTGTGTTTGCTTTTATTGTTTCCTTTCACCTCCTTTTCTTACTCCTATCAGGCATGTTTCTGTGTTCCAGAATGCATATAGAATTAAGGATAAAGTTAAAAAAGCATCCTTACACCAGCAGCCTATCTTTTTGGGAACCTTCATTTATTTCTTGCCTTATGAAAAATCTGCATTGGTTCTGCTAGAGCATGGGAATCATGCATCTTCTTGGGGGATGCTCCTAAAGCCCTCAAAAGGCACACAGATATCAAAGGAGATTTGCTCCAATCTACTCAATGACTCTATCAGCAGAGGGGATGGCTGAAGGCAAGAATGGCCTTTCTGTGCTCCAGTACTATATCCAAAATACTTGTGTATTGTCATATCAGCACAGGGCTTTAGACAGAATCCATACAGCTTATAGGAAATTATATTACAGATTTTTGGCAGAGTGGGAACCAAATCAAACTATTCCAGCTTGCTAAAGAGCTGAAGTAATTCCCAGATGGTTCAAAACCAGATGAGTTTACCACTGCGACCCTTTCCCCTACACTCAGCTACTGAGTGTGGCATTTGAGTTTGCCCATTTAAGAGGGAGTCTCAAGAACAACAAAAATCTAAAATTCTAGCCTGTTTTACTAGTTTCATTTACAGTTTAAAAATGTGAACAATTTAACAGTATAAGTCATTAAGTCAGTTCAAAGAGGAATTCTTACAGAATACCAAATCAACTACAACAGCATATGTAATGGCCAGTCTCTTCGCGAACGAAGAACCGGGGAAGGTCTTTCCACCTTCCAGCCTGCGCATTGGATTTTTTAGGTGAGACACAGTGTGCGCGGAACTGAGCCCACCCTTTAATCCTGAGGTTCATCTGCCGGGGCCAAGCACGCTTGGACGGTGGCAGTGAGGTCCTCAGGACGTAGATGGATTGCCTTATGGGCTAACGA